AGTTCTCCTTTAATGCCAGTCCTCCATGAGGACCAACTGTCCACCACTGATCAACCTAAAAGGAGGTGGAGGCAGAAGGAAATGGAGTAGAAGCAAGCAGGGAAAGTTATCTCTCTGTCCAATGGTTCCACCCCTGGGATGCAGAGGAAGCACATGGCACATTTGCCTGATGAAGGGGTCGTGTGAGGCTCTGAAACATTGAATTCACATGTCGTGCTAAAGGAATATGGATAAAGATGATATTCTGAAGCAGAATGGTGTGCGGACAACATATCTTCTAAATTGTGTGCTTGTGGAGACACACAGTTTACTAGCACGAACAAGGGTGGATTCATAGGACCCTACAAGGTTAAGGAGTGACCCTAAAACAGGATATCAGGGCCAGTACTCAGGGGAACAGCTGATCCTGCAGGAAACTAAAACGTTACTACATCAAGGAACAGAATCTATTGTAAGGGATTTAATTAGCTATTGATATAGCCTAAAAACCTTTTGACTTTAATATCATTTTAAGGTGCCTGTAGGCACATAGTGTAAATATAGGAATTTGAAATCAGATACATCCAGACAAGTATTTTCAGTAAGAGGCAGAGAGGAAGCTACATTTTTCTCAGCGCTTTTACCTTTAAAGCAAACCTGTCACAAATCTCAATTTCCAAATAAGCCTATTAGCTAAAAAAAGTATGTAAATACGTATCTCTTCCAGCCCATGCTGCCCAAACACCACTGCAATAAAGAAAAATGAGTGCATGATGTTTCGCCTGAAACTGGCACTTCTGGGAATGTCAACCATCTGTGGTACCCACTGTATTCAGTGGTTTCTTATGCCAGCCTCCACTCCACTACAGACAGGGGCGTATCTATGGTAAATAGCGCCTATGGCAAGCACTGAAATTGTGCCAATGTACAAAATTCTGACACCCCAGTTCTGGCACAACCAGACACACACACTAGAGCTGCTGGGCCTGGAAGGTTGGTACAGTATAAGGATTGTACAGCACAGTGTACAGAATGAGGCATTGTGGAGTATAACATTCCGCAGTGTGGAATAGGGAACATACAGCATGGCATATGAAATGAGGCAGTGTGGAATAGGGAACAGCATGGCATATGGAATGAGGCGGTGTGGAATAAGGGACACAGAGCATGGCATATGGAGTGTACTAGCAGAGATAATTTTGTATCCTAATTGAATGACCCAGGCCCATTCAGTCCTCCATCAGAGTGGACCCACGGCTAACCGGTCACCTGTTTGGAGTCCCAAGAATGAGGAGAGGTATGTGACTCTTAGGTAGGGTTGCCACCCGTATGGGTTTCACCCGTACAACCCGGGTTTGGAATCATGTGCCCGGGTCTGTGGCCACCTCCCGCCCGGGCACATGATTCAAACATTACAATGCCGCATACCTGCATTTCTTGCGGCGGACGACGGGCGGAGGACGGCGGACACCAGGTGGCGCTGTCTCCTCGACTCTCCCTCCCTCCTCAATTTCCTCCGCGGCTGTAGTGGGAGGAAGTGACATCAGGGAGAGAGGGAGCCGCGAGGGACGAATCTTCCTCCGGCAGCCAGCCAGCAGGGGTGGAGAGCAGCGCTTTCGTCTGGCAGACGAGTTTGGGGCCACCCTTCTCATCTCCTCAGCGACCTGTCATCTCACCTTTGAAGAAAAGCAGTATCTGCCCCGGGACAGCTCACTTCTGTCCGACTTTGTAAAATGTGAGACCTATTGCCGGTTACAGATTTCATCGCCAAAAAAACTGGGTGGGATTACGTTAAAATGTGTGACCACGTGACCACTCACACTTTCCAACCTAGTCACAAACTTTGATAGAACAACGGGTTTTGGAATCCTGTGCTCGTGTGTGAGCCGGAATCACACCCGAGCACATTATTCACGCCGGACTTGTGGCTCCCTGCTGGTGCCGCCACTGTTACTTGTCGAGTCCCTCCCTCTGTTTTTCTCCTCCGCGGCAGGGACTAGGTGGGAGGAAGTGACATCAGGGAGGTCCTCCAAAATCACCATCTCCACCATGCGCTGTCATCTGGGACCAAATAGCCGGCACCACCCCAGTCTCACGCCCCTATATATTATACTGTATTAAATATCAATTGAAGGGGGGGGGGCTAGTATAGACCATAAAACGTGCCCCCATAAAAAATGCCACAAGTAACCTGTGACATCTTTTGTGGGAGCATCTTTTATGTGCAATAGTACATATCTGAACTCCAAAACAGATGTCACCAGCGCTAAGATCCCATGTTACTGCAAATCTATTGTATTGATAGTTGTCATTCAAACGACAAGCGCTTTCTGGGCTGGGCAGGGTCCCCTTCATCAGGCTCAGAAATAGCATTACATAAAAGGGCCACAACTTTTATATGGACATAATAGAATGTCATTTCTGAGCCTGATGAAAGTGCCTTTCTGCCCAGCCCAGCCCAGAAAGTGCTTGTCTTAGGAATGACAACTACCAATCAAATGGATTTTGCAGTAACATGGGATCATGGTGCCGGTGTGCTGGAGACATCTGTATTGTTGTTCTGTTGTGAGCAGCGCCATCCGCAGTCATTACCAGCACCCGTTACTTTTGGCATATCTGGTAAGAACTGCGGCAAGGTATATGGGTACTGCTTTGTACACTTATCTACAGAAAGCATATCTGGGAACCTGTGGCATACTGGTAAGTTGTGATTAACTCAAATGTCGTTTATTTACAAAATACATGCATAGTGTATACTGTACAAACAAATTGCCGTGAAGCGCTACAGTGTTCGGGTTTGGCCTGAAGAAAAGGTGGCAACCCTACTCTTAGGCCTCGTTCACACCATATGCAGTGCGTTCCGGTCCAATTCTGGCCGGAACACACTGCATCGCATTGCTGCTGGCTCACTTTTTTGCCGGGCTTAAGGGGGCGTGAAGGGCCATTGAAGTGAATGCTGCATGCACTATTTTGCACTATTTTGATCGCACCGGACTGCAGGCACAATGTGACTTGCGATCCCGTGCGGGCGATCACATTGCGGCCGGAGGGCGTGACTACGTTGGCCCACCACGCCCCCTCCTGCCCGGCAAAAAAAACCCAGTGGCGCCGCTGCTCCCTTGCTTGCTGCTCTGGGCGAAAGGGACATCTGCTGTGGGCCCTGTAAATTATGGGGCCCAGGGCAGTTGCCCCCTTTCCCCTGTAAAGACGGCCCTGAGTGTCATGGTCAAATTTCCCCAAATGTATTGTAGGAATTATTATATTATTGCTTTTTATACAACAGAGAAAGCAGCCACAGACATGGGGTAACAGTATCAATGGATTTGCAATGCCCAGTTTGTAAATAGTCAAACTCTATTAGCAATTATGTTAACGGGCTTAATTTTCCAGAGTTTTTATGTCAACCATGTGCTCAAGGGGTCAGCAAAATCTGATTGACTTGATTGGGCAGTACACATGACAGTTCAAAGGCAGCGTTTGACCCGTTTTATGTTGCATTTCTTTGAATGCGGCATGTCCTTTTAGTCTCCATTCACACTTCATTCATACAATGTGTCTGCATTGGTATGCATTTTTTAGCATGTGTTCTAATGTGTTTTTCACGGATTTTAATGTTGTATGTGTTTTTGTTTTGGCCAGTGAAAGTGAAGAAAAAGGAAACGTTACATTCATTTTGTAAAAGCACCAAAAAAATCACCTAGCAACCAGTACAGCCACTGAGTGGGCCGGTTCTGCCCATGCATGTGCACTGCTCAATGAGCAGTGCTCATGCGTGCACAGTGCTTGCAGATCCTCATGGTTTTGGGGCGATGTTCTGCCATTGTGCCCAGCTCCTCCCACGCTATCCCACCATAATGGGTGGGTGTCCCTCTACATTAAAAGAAGATTGCAGCACTTTCATAGTCTACTGACAAAAGTTTATGATGTTTTTGCACTGTGTGGGGATAATTATACTATTGTTTTATATGGGTTCCAAAGTATCTCTTTTTTAATTATCTTTGAATTTGGCGGATTACAACCTCATTATGATGTCATAGGGGTATTTCTTGTGTACATGGTGTTCTTATACAGGTGAAACTCGAATAATTAGAATATCGTGCAAAGTTCATTTATTTCACTAATGCAACTTAAAAGGTGAAACTAATATATGAGATAGACTCATTACATGCAAAGCAAGATAATTCAAGCCGTGATTTGTCATAATTGCCATAATTGTGATGATTATGGCTTACAGCTCATGAAAAACCCAAGAACCCCAAATCCACAATCTCAGAAAATGAGAATATTACATGCAATCAATAAAACAAGGATTGTACATAGAACAATATCGGACCTCTGAAAAGTACAAGCATGCATATGTGCTCAGTACTTGGTTTGGGCCCCTTTTGCAGCAATTACTGCCATTACTTTTGCACGATATTCTAATTATTCGAGTTTCACCTGTATGTAAATGTGCGTGATGTGTTATTAACGTGTCACTATATCGCCCTAATGAAGGGACCCTGCGTGGCCCTGAAATGTTGGCATTTCATGACATGACATCATGGAGATGATTTAATAAATTGAAACAGGATCTATGATTTCACTGTGCGTGTGCTGGTGATGATCTGATCTTTGCTTTGGAGTTCTACAGGGTGCCTTTTGTGTTATCACTAAGAGCACCACCATCTTGCAAGGTCATAACGCTGTATGGCGTGCAGGTGACTAATGACACTAACGCCTGCGTTATTTTCCAAATTGCATGAAGACACGTTGCATTGGGGTGAACGAGCTCCTCAGTAAATCATGGAATTCTTTTGTCGTGCATTGTTGCGCATCAGTTTGAACTGCAGGCAAAGTAAGCCAAACGTAGCCTTTTCTTTCCAAACGCTGCATGCCTTCAGATGGACAACACAGCTTTTGACTAGAACGTTCGTGGACATGAACCCTTGGGGGGTTCTTCTGTACAACATGTATTCATTCACTGCACTGTTGTGCAGGAGGAAGAGCTGCAGACTTTTCCCTCCAGATACACCAGAAGCTGACTGCTGGATCCTGTCAGTGCAGTGCTGTAATTTGGTTACGCAGCATGTGCTGTGACTCTTATTCCACTCACACACTGGCAGCCGCCTGAACAGGAGCCAGAGTGGAAGACTGGAGTCCTGTCACTGTTCTCTACAAAAGCACTTTCTAAAAACAGCGCTTGCCTAATAAAGATATGGGGCTTGTGCGTTCACCGCTGGCCTTTTCTGCACTATAAATACTCTTGCTGAAGAACATTCAGGCTTTGCTTGTGCAAGGTTGGGACCTGGTACATGCTCTGTAACAACAACAGGATCTCTACAGTACAGGACAGAAAGATAATTTTAATAAAAGGATGCCAAGGGTGGATGCAGACCTCAAACTGGACTTTAAAGATGTCCTTTTCAGACCAAAAAGGAGCAGCCTTAAAAGCAGATCCGAGGTGAGCGCTATTTTGTTATTTCCCTTTTTATAGTTATTAAGGCATCAAACCTTAAAACAAGGATAATGATCTTTTTTTTAGCCAAGTGACTGTCATTTTCAAATCTCAATGGCTAAGAAAAAGAAGAAAAAAAAAACATCAATGTTTAGAAAATACCTATCTTTATCCCGGTGTGTTAGCTTTGTGAACTGAGCCTATTGTCTTGTGTGAACTTCTGATGATTGACCACTGCAACAGAACTAATCTGACCCAGTGCTCCATACCTTAGCAAATTCACATGTTTGTATATTGTAACAGTCTTTTGCAGGTTTGTACGTTTTGACATTTTAATATAGTTCTGCCACTAAAAGTTTCCATGTAGAAATAACACATGAAGTTACAGACACTAGTAGTATTGCAGGTCTTTGGATCTGTAGAAAAGCACCAGGTTGGTACTTTATGGTAAAAATTGTACGCTATGAAAAGAGGTTGACTATAAGGCTCGCTGCACAGGAAAGGGAGGGTGTGGGAATAGGACTCTGCTACGCTGCAGCCAGGCTGTCACCTTGCAATGCTCAGTAATTCACCTTGACAGTAGAGAATAACTCATAGCTCTGGTTGAAGGTGGAATAATCAGGGAAGGGCGTGCTGAATGCTAGGCTTAATGTACTTGCAACACAAATGACAATGACAGTACCGGTCCCATTCAAACACTTTGTTCTGCCTGTTAGACACATAACTCCTGTTAGACACGTTACGTTCAATGCTACCTCCATCTGGGGAGGGATTAACCTATGCACTGCTGAGCTATCTGATTATATTTGTGTATGTGTGATATCCGTTCAGTTGTAACCAACTCTCTATGGGCCAGTGCTCTGGGCACTTTACCATAGATTTTTCTTGACAAGTGTTTTTATGAGGTTGATTTCCAGATCTTTACTCAACCCTCCCTATTTACAAAGGCTTGGGACTGGCATGCAGTATGTGTTAACACATGTGGAAAGCTAATTTGTACACACATACTAGGGCTAGTTAAGACAGCATGTCTTTGGAGTGTTGGAGGAAACCAAAGTGCCCAGAAGAAACCCACAGAAATACATAGGGGACATGCAAACTTCATGTAGATAGTGTCCTGACCCGGATTCTTTTTTATGAAGCAGGTCACCAGGTCTTTCCTCAACACTCCCCACCAGCATGTAGAATGTGATAGGAAACACATACTAGGGCTAAATTACCCACTAGCATGACGTTGGGAGTGTGGTAAGAAACCAGAGTGCTTAGAAGAAACACACACAAATACAAGAGGAACATGCAAATTATATTTAAATAGTGTCCTGACCTGGCTTCTTTTTTATGGGGTAGGTCACTAGGTCTTTCCTCAACCCATGTACACAAGCTTGGGACTGGCATGCAGAATGTGATAACACATGTGCATAGCCAATGTGTACACACATACTAGGGCTAAATTAGCATGTCTTTGGTGTGTGAGAAGAAACCAGAATGATCAGAAGAAACCCACACAAACACAGGGAGTAAACTACATGTAGATAGTGTCCTGACTTGAATTCTTTTTTATGGGGTAGGTCATCAGGGTTTTCCTCAACCCTCCCCATTTACACAGGCTTCGGACCAGCATGCAGAATGTGATAACACATGTACATAGCCAATTTGTACACACATATTAGGCCCAAGCTACCCATTAGCATGTCTTTGGAGTGTGGGAAGAAACCAGAGCACAGGCAAACACAGAGAGAACATGTAAACTCCATGTAGCTAGTATCCCGACCTGGATTTAAACCGCGGACCCCTGTGCTGCAAGGCAGAAGTTCTAAGTCACTGTGCTGCTTGCTTACTTTTACCTCTGACAAAAATATAGTTGATATAACCAACTATCTTTCTACATTGATTTAGTGATTTGCCTGATTAGAATCACAATGATATATTGTATTATGAATGAGGTAGATTTCAATAATATGATACATTGTTTGTAGTATTCCGATGTTTCCTAGTAATGTTGCTAACGTTCCTATCATTTCGGAGTGCTGTAAATAGTCCTCAGGCAGTTTTTACATTACACTGCAGTGAGAAGTCACCTTCAAGGCTTTCATGCAGCAGATGCTTTCACTATAGCGTGTGGGTGTCTCCCACTGACAAAGTGGCTTTCTGGGAAATTGCTCTGTCATAACAACTTCGGTAATTATTCGTAGCCTGCATAGGTACTTCGAGGTAATAGAATTTTATTCCCCTCAGTGATTTCTGAGTGGAAAACAAACTGATCATTTATGTCATAGTCAAATCTGTGAGCACTGCTGCAAAACAGCACTGCATTGCAGGCTGCGTCTGCATACTGCAAGCACATTCGAGGGTTGGGCCTCTGTCGTTCCTGTTAATGTCTCCATCATTTTCCCTGCAAATGTATACAAGCCAGGGCCGGGGTGGATGTACATTTTCCTTATGTCATAGTGTCAGATTTGTATTCTCAAGGGGCCTATAACCAGTAGTCCGCACAATTAGTGTGACATAGCAAAGGGCTGTAGCTTTACAAATGTACAATGCCGATTGTGGAAATGTGCACACCCTCATTGGAAGCTACTTTGCAGGAACATTTCTCTTCTATTCATCATATAGAAATATATACAGATTTACCCAATAAGGGTACATGCACACTAGATTTTGGAATGCATATGCAGTTTTTTTTTGCATTGTGCTTTTTGATCAGTGTTGGTCCACTTACATGGTATAGGGACCTGAATTGCTGAATTGCAGCTCCTGGCATCATCAAAGGTCCACTTACAAGATATAGGAGACCGAAATTGAAGCCCCCAATATCACCAAGGGGTCCAATTACCACCTTGGTTCTCAACTAGTGGGTCGTGACTCCGTGTTCAGTGGGTCACCGCATGCCTTCCACTTTCTAGGTGAGGCTCCTCAGCCTCCCCCTAGCACAGCGCTGTCAGTTCTCAGAACAAGCAGCCATTCAAAATATGCTACCTGGCGCTGAGTGTCAGTTTGACATAGGGTGGGCTGGGGGTATGGCCGCAAGGGAGCTCCATCCCTACATGCATTGCTTACAGTTTCCTCACTTATCCTGTAGAGGTGCCTGGACTGGAGCGACGTCACATTCTGGCTCCCGGCACCTATATAGGGCATGCTAGGAAGCTGTACCCACAATGCACATATGGATGGAGCCACAGCACAGCAGCCCACACTGGACTCCCGGCTAAGGATCCACTCCAGTTCTTGGAAGATAGGGAGCCTGGATGGATGGGGGAGACACCCGGAGTCTTAGGAAAAAGTGCAAATGGGGCACGTGGGGGCTCAGTAGGGTGGAGGGTGGCCACATGGGGCAGCCACGACCCCTACAGAGTGCGATAATAGCTCTGAAGAGCTCGCACTAGTCCAGTATTTGGACTTAGGTAATGTGTATACTTTACCTGTCAAGAGTGACATTGTTACTGTTTTTTAAATGTAGGTTTTTCTTCTTTTTTTTTCTTATCTTTCCCCCTTTATATATGTTTAACTCCCTTGTTTTTCCCCCTCCCTGGTTTCCTTTGCCCCTGGGGGAATTTCGGTACTAACAGTGAAGGAAAAAAAATGTGTCTTATTTATGAATGCCGATGGCTAAATATAGTATTCTGACGTATAATGTCAGGGGTCTCAACACTCCTGCAAAGAGGCACCAGCTTACGCAGGAGCTGCGTCAACTTAATTGCGATATAGCCTTTTTGCAGGAAACACATCTATCTCACCACACTCAAGTGCGTTTATCTTCCTTGCACTACCCGTTATGGTACTATACTACCTCTGATTCAAGTAACTCCAGGGGAGTTGCAATCGGCATTCATAAAGACGTAAAATTTAAGCATATTTCTACAGTAACAGATCCTAGCGGGAGATATCTTTTTCTAAAGGGGACAATTGACAACCACTTGTTCACATTTGCCTCAATATATGCCCCTAACAAAGCTCCGACCACATTTCTATGCCGGACACTCCATCAATTGATGGACTATCAAGAAGGTACAATAGTCTTTGCAGGAGATTTTAATATCCATATGGATCCTTCCTTTGACTCATCCTCGGGACGCTCCCATATACCCTTTAAACGACTTAAAACTTTTAAAGCACTATTAAATTCCTCACAATTGATGGACGTTTGGAGAATATATCATCCACGGGATATGGATTATACCGCCTACTCATCGGTACATAACACATACACGCGACTTGATTACATTTTTATAGATCACTACCACCTGGGGATTGTACAAGATACAACTATCCTCACCGCTACCCTCTCGGACCATGCTCCGGTGAGGGTCACACTGAGGTTACCAGGAGATAGACGTTCACCTTCCGTATGGAGGTTAAACAAATCTTTATTACGGGATAACAAAACAAGGGCCGTCCTTACAAAAGAATTACATTATTATTTTTCTGAAAATACGGAAGGAGAGGTGTCACCGGGCATGGTATGGGAGGCGCATAAAGCTACAATAAGGGGAATACTGATTTCGCAGGGCTCTTATAAAAAAAAGAAACACACTTTGAAATTGAAAGAACTTTCAACAAAAGTAGCGACACTAGAGCAAATCCATAAGGGAGCGTTGACAGCTTCAACCCTGATGGACTTGACAAAAGCAAGGGAAGAATTAAAAAGGGAAGTGGCCATGAAGTATAAGAGATCTCTTAATTACCTTTCCCAACGGTCTTACGAATTAGGCAATAAACCAGGGAAAACCCTCGCTAGACTACTGAAGGACAAACAACGCACAAACTTCGTAGCTAAAATAAAAACTAAACAAGATGACATGGTGTATACAACAACGAACATTGCTAATATCTTTAAGGAATTTTACTCATCTTTATATCAGGTGAGACCTGAATTTACCTCCCAAACTAAAGACCCACACTTAACTCGCATTCAGACTTATTTAGCATCAACACTGATACCTACCATCTCTGAATCTTCTAGGGAGTCTCTGGAAGCCCCTATAAATGTAGAAGAAATTCAGCAAGCT